ACCATTATAGTCTAGAGAAGTGAATCGCTCCCAATTTACCTATTTTTGTCACACAAAATGAGAAGATATATAGCTCATAAACTCGACTGTCAATGATAATGTATGTAGAGTCCGTGCGGGGGTCCCAAAATTGAGGGGGAGGAGGTATATAAGAAAATGTCTCACAAGAATAGTGAAAATTCAAAAAATCTTGCTAGTTTTACTGGAGAATAGCGACTAATTTTCAATTGTTCATGAGTGGAGAGAATGTACACTCCTCCACATCCCTATTTTCGCGGCTCTTAAATGACGTTAGTGATCGCTATCTATTTATCAAATATAATATCCGGGTCTTTAACTTATATTCTATTCGCCGAACTTTCATTAAAATATCCCATGTCCTCAAAATCGCTAAAAAATCGATGATTTTATCGCGGGATATTAGGGCGATTAATCGTGAGAGCTTATCGCTATATAATCATTCAAACTGCCGATTTTTACCGATACTTTTTTCGATTTTCAACCGAAATCGCAATTTATTTACTGCTGCCTAACCTAGGCTTCTCATAAAAACAGCTAAAAAAAGTAAATTTTTCGGAAAGACATTTGATGTCTACTGAAGAGCTCTCTTTGTTATTTGTTCACGTTCTCTGAGAACGACTTCGTCTATAAGTATATCCAAATGCTTTGTTAGCGTGTTCCAACTCACGTTTTATTACCTTGAAGCAGATTCGAACAGATGATCTTGCATTTTCGAAGCATGGCATATCCCATTGTACTATAATTACATATACCTCACTTTGTTGAACTTTCTATATATATATTGAACAGACACGAAAATGTTACCAGTAAAGCCTTTATTGTAAAGGCTATGGATCTAATTTTTCTGCTACTTTAAAATAAATTTAAATAATTTTTATTTATAAATAAATTTGAATGATATCAATTTATATTGACAAATAAAAATTATTTAAAATTAAATTTATTTAAAACTTATATCATCAGAAATTAATTTATTTAAAAAAAAAGTTACTGTTATTTATATCTATCTTTGAATATAAATATTTTTATAAACTATACTTGTAAATGTTAATAATGAAAAAATTATTTTTTACTTAATATACGCGTAAATTAAAACACAGGAATAAATTGACACCCCTGAGTCATTTTTAATACGAAAATATATTCCACTACTTTACTAAAATATTTGTTGTAATAATACAATGAATCCACTGGTCATGACACTTGGACAAGTAATTTCAAAAAGAAAGAAATTAAAAAAATAGTTTGCGGGTGGGTGTGGTTGATAGAAGATTGACTTTCACTATAAAACCACATCTCACCCCCAGATCTGCCCTTGTCCAAACGCAATATGAATCGAACTGAATCTAATTGAACTTGTCTTATTCATTTTCGTCTCTGGTTCCTAATGCAGGGTAAAACCGATGAATATTTTACAAGTTCTATGGGCGGAAAAAAAAATCATAGAATTTAATAAGAGGTGAGAATTTATATGAAAGAGAAAAGAAAAGAAGAAGTTGAGAATAATTTTATTCTTGGTTAATTAATTACATGTATTTTCTAAAATTAGTTGCAATGATTGAAAGAAGCCAGCTTTCTATAAAGATCAAAAACTAATCTTCGTTTGTATAGATATTAAGAAATAAAAATTTGTGTTGAAACTCGTCAATGATTCGTGGCACAAGCCAATCATTGTAGTAGATTATGTAATTTAATTCGATACAGATCAACTAAATAAGAAGATACGAACGAGTTCTTTTTTGTTTATCTAAGCTAATAAACCGATAATTAATGAATCAGGAGATTGTCGTCTAGATTATCATAGAACTTCAAAATGTTTTTTTCGATGAAAATATCTGAAAATCTGAAGTTAGTTTCGACCAATCACAAATCTCAAAATAATCGATGATTTATGACGATACGTCTGCGTCACTAAAAATCGACGATTAATCGCGATGCATTTACAGTACTAAAAAAATTGGTGATTAATCGCGATATATCGGAATTACTCAAAAAGTCGATGATCAATCGCGATTAATCGTTAACTTTTCTGCAAATCGCGATAAATCATCAAAACTGAGGCGATTTTGACGACATGGGATCTCCTACGAGTAATTTGTACTAGTAACGAAAGTTCCTAAATATTCACGATCACTATGGCACATAATAAATCATCAGATTAATAGTTAGTTTTTTCCCTTCATTCAGTGTAAAAAAGATGGAAGTTTTTGTTTCTGTTTTATGACCTTCGGAACAATGTCAATGACGTCGTCTGTTGTTTTGAATGTCTTTCATATGAGATGTAGACTCTAAGATTTTATTTTCTGACCAAACTATTTGTCTATTTTTGTTCTTCCACAAGAGATGATGCTATGGTATCATGCTCCTTTCTATCCTCATATATTTACGAGCAATTTTTGTTATCATAAGTATATTTAAAGAGAGCAGAGCATAGTAAAAATAAAATATAAACATGACTATTGTAAAGCTCTTTGGAAGTCGATAAAAGATCTTGTCAAATTTTCTCTTATCACAGAATGTGGGTGTGGATGATCTCATCTTCACCATCACCCACACCTTTAAGAAATATTATTCCAACCTTGATATATTGAACAGAAGTATGAACCAATAAAATAAGCTTCTGTAACCCATTACTCGTATATCGTCAATAGGGCAAGTTTCATCTACCAATGAAAATCTCTTCGATAAATACAATGTTCAAAAATATCAAAATATATCGTTTAAGGTTAAGCACAATAGCATTCGATAAATATAGAAAAAAATCAAGCACGTTCTCATAAATTACAAAACATCAAAAACAAGGCGTACTTATGCTTTCCAATTATGGCCTTTTTTCAATAAATGATTGTCGTTTGAAGTAGCTGTTTCTTCTTGTATTGATTGAATAGCAGGATGAGTTTCAATGCGAGATGTTGATGATGCTTCAGTAGATGTAGATAATTGTAATATTGTTTCACACGGTCGATTAAGATTATGCGATAACCAGTCCTTCTCAGACGCTGCAGAGGAGCATAGATTATTTGATGTGTTTTTTGTCTCCTGATCCAAAATACCAAGCAAAGAACGACCTCTCACAACGTATGAATCTGAAAAAAACACACTAGTTTGGTCTTGTGAATACTTCATATTGACTCATCGGTTGGCCGTCCAAATGTCGAAAGGAAAAATGTCGAAAGAAAAAATGTCGAAAAGACGAAGGGG